AAAAAATTAAAAAAAAAAAAAAAAAAAAAAGAAAAGAAAAGAAAAGAAAAGAAAGATCACATCAGATACATATGCATGTGTACCCAAAAAATGAGGACCCACCCCCTAAGGGTGATGGCCACACTGTAATCCTTTCTCCTCTATTCTCCCAGGATTTGAGGCATGCACGCATATGTGCCCAGCATAATTTTCAAACTGCTAAGTCCAGGACTTGAACCATAGTCAGTCATATAGAAGTCTAGCACCTTGGGAACCAGCAGTTAACGTAATGGCTATGTCGCTGGACTCCCACATAGTCGACCACAGTTCGCGTCCCGGACCCGGTGGCTTAAAACACACACCGGGCGCATATGCGTGCATGCCCAAGATCCCGAGAGGAGAATGGAGAAGAAGGGATTGCAGCGTGACCATCCCCCCAGGGGGGTGATTTCTCACTTTCTGTCTCTATGTCTCTCTCTGTCTGTCTGGCGAGCACACGCGCCCTATAGCAAAAACCTCTCCAAAAAAAAAAAGTCTAGCAGTCTAGCACCTTAACCATCATGCCACCTGCTGGCCTGATTATATTTCAATATAGCCTTTTCTAAAAAAAAGAAATATATTATCAGGCTGGCTCCATGACCTGGTGGTTAAGGCAACCAGATCCCACATGGACGATCATGTAGTTTGAATCCTGGTCCCAGCGTATCTAGAAAGACCTGCCAGGTGTGTGTGCATGTGTGCATGTGTGCCCCAAATCCCAAAAGAATAGAGAAATGGAGAGAGGATTGTGGCATGCCTTGTTAGGGGATGCTTTCTCACTTTCCATCTCTCTCTCTTTCCCCAGTAAATGGACACACAACCTTTGACAAGTTAAAAATAAATAAATAGGAAGTCAGCAGGTGGCATGATGGTTAAGGACGATGAAGTGCCCCCAGGGCCAACTGTGCATGGTTTGAGTCTCAGACTTGGCGGCTTGCTTTCTCACTTTCTCTCTCTCGCTCTCACTCTCTTGCTCTGTCTCTCTCTGGTCAAAATTAAAGTTAAATAAAATAATTATTAAAATTAATAAATAAATATACATTACTAAGCACTTCCTCTGGTGGTCATGTGGAGAAATGATTAACCAGGGGCAATAACCTCTCATTTATTTAAGATAAATAAGCTGCTTACCACCCTGAATCAGCTGCCGGGCTACAAACAAAGCAGTAGACCCAGTAGAACAGTTATTGTTGACATTGATTATAGGAATTCCGGTCAGTCCCAAACTGTGATAGATAGCTCTCTGCCCACAGGTAGAGTCACCTGTATCAAAAAAAAAAAGAAGGAAGAAAGAAAAAATTAATATCTGTAACATGGGAATTAATTACAGAAATGCACTGCGATGGAATATTATATTACAGTTTTTCAGTATTTTGCTTTTGCCTAGCATATGACATGGTTGGGATAGTAAACATACTACTGAAACATACTCAGAAACAGTTTTCGCATTAAGCATCATTTACTTTGCAAACATAATAAAAGTCTCAAAACAAGGAATACATGTGCACTTTCTTCAGAGGTCCTGTGTGCCGGGGCATACCTGAACAACGTGGTCTGAGTTGAGTACACATGTGATTTCCTCTCCCAAGTGACATGACCACCAATGCAGACACACTGCACAGCATAGTGGGAAAATTTGAAGGCTTAGACTCTCTACGAGTCTTTGGCAAAATTAGCAAGGTTCAGGGTCTCCTTCTCAGTATATACATTCTTCATCCCTTCAACTCAGTAAGTTTCCCTGCTAGAATTCTCATGATAAATTCATATTTCAAGGAAGGAAGTCATTAATAGGTACAAATTTATCTAAATTAATAATTACTCTAGTATTTTTTTTATAATACTGTATCATTTTTATAACTAGAAGTTAGAAATAACTTAAAATGCAAGGACAGGATATTACTACTACTATTACTATTCAATAAACTGGTGAAGCCCTAAGACTAGAATATTATGTAATCATTAAAAATGCTGTAGGTGATGGGGCCAACAGGTAGCATGGTGGTTAAGGGCGCAGGATCCAACACGGCCAGTTGTGGTTCAAGTCCCAGACCTGGCAGCTTGCTTTCTTACTTTCTTTCTCTCTCTCTCACCCTTTCCTTCTCCGGTCAAATTAAAAATAAATAAATAAATAAAGTTAAATAATTCTAAAAATAATGCTGTAGGGGGACCAGAAGATAGTGTAATGGTTATGTTGCTGGACTCCCACATGGCTGACTGTTCAAGTCTCAGATATGGTAGCTTCAAAATCACATCAGGCACATGTGCATGTGTGCCCAAGATCCTGGAAGGAGAATGGAGAAGGGAGTGTGGCGTGGCTACCCCCCTTGGGGGTGATTTATCACTTTCTGTCTCTATCTCCCCAGCAAGCACACATGCCCTGTAGCAAAAATCTCTTTTCAAAAATGCTGGCTGCTTGCTTTCCCACTTTCTCTCTCTCTCTCTCTCTCTCTTACTCATTCTGTCCCTCTCTGGTCAAATGAAAATAAATAAATAAATAAATAGAGGCCAGGAGGTGGTGTGGTGGTTAAGTACGCAGAACTCCCACAGGGTTGACCACCGTTTGAGTCCCAAACCTGGTTGCTTGCTTTCTCACTTTCTCTCTCTCCCTCTTTTGCTCTGTCGCGCTCTGTTAAAATTTAAATAAATAAATAAAGTTAAATAAAATAATTGTTTTTTAAAAAATGCTGTAGGAAAGGGGCCAGCAGGTGGCATAGCAGTTAAAGCACTAGGCTCCCAGATAGTTGACCATAGTACACATCCTGGATTTGGTGGCTTGCTTTCTCACTTTTCCTTTTTCTCTTTCTCTGTCTCTAGTCAAATTAAAAAATAATACCAAATAAAATTAAATAAATAAATAATTATTTAACAACAACAACAAAAAAATGCTGTGGGGGCATGGGGAAAATGGGGAGATGTTGGTCAAAGGGTACAAACTTTCAATTATACGATATACAAGTTCTTGGGCCAGCACTTGGTATGGTGGTTAAGGGCGCTAGACTCCTACATAGTCAACCGTGGTTCAAGTCCGGGACCTAGCAGTTTCCCTCTTTCTCACTCACTCTGTTCCTCTCTGGTCAAATTAAAATAAATAAGGTTAAATAAAATAATTCTTAAAAAAAATTAAAAGATATACAAGTTCTGGGACCAGCTGATGGCATAATGGTTATGTTGCTGACCTCCCATGTATCTGATTGCAGTTCAAGTCCCAGACCCAGCAGCTTAAAACTCACACTGGGCATGTGTGCATGCATGCCCAAGATCCTGAAAGGAGAATGGTGGAGAAGGGACTGTAACATGGCCATCCACAGGAGAAAATTTCTACTTTCTGTCTCTGTCTGTCTCTGGCAAGTGCACATGCCCTATAGTAAAAATCTCTCAAAAAAAAAGATATACACATTCTAGGGATAGATGTGATTATTAATTTGATTATGATAATCAATTCATAATTTATACTTATATCAAACCAGCATGTTGTATACCTTAAATTTATTCAATCTTTATTTGACAATGAATATTTTCTTTTTATTTTAGAGAGAGATTTTTGCTATAAAGCATGTGAACTTCCTGGAGAGACAGAGACAGAGAGACAAAAAGCGAGCAATCACCCCTCAGGGGGGATGGTCACACCACAATCCCTTCTCCATGCTCCTCTCAGGATTTTGGGAATATGCACACACATGCCCAGTGTGAGCTTTAAGCTGCCATGTTCAGAACTCGAACTGCAGTTGACTAGGTGAGAGTCCAGAGACATAATCATTACTCCATCCACTGGTACTGACAATGAATTTTTTTTAATAGTTCTTTTTTTTTAATTATTTATTTAAATTTTATTTATTCATTCTTTTTTTTTTTTTTTTAATTTGACCAGAGAGGCACAGAGAGAAACATAGAGAAGGAAAGCAAGAAAGCAAGCCACCAGGTCCAGGACTCAAACCATGGTCGGCCATGTGGGAGTGTCCAGCACCTTAACCACCACATCACCTGCTGGTCCCCACAATGAATATTTTTTAGTGCTATAAAAAGATTAAGAAGTCAGCCCAGTAGGCTAATGATTAAGGCAGCCAGGTCTCACATGGCTGACCACAATTTAAACCTGGCCCCAGAGACCTGAAAACACACCAGGCACAGATGCGTATATGCCCAAAATGCTGACAAGACAGAGAAATGGAGAAAAGACTGCAAAGTGACTACACTCCATTGGGGGGTGTTTCTCCCCCTTTCTCATTCTCTGGTGAGTACACACATCCTCTGGCAATTAAATGAGAAAAGTGGATTACAAAAAATATGAACAGTGGGATCGCAGTTAGCATAATGGCTAAGTCACTGGAATCCCATGTAGTTGACCATGGTTTGAGTCCTGGACCCAGTGGCTTAAAACTCAAACCAGGTACACGGGCATGCGTGCCCAAGATCCTAAACAAAGAATGGAGAAGGGATTGTGGCATGGCCATCTCCCCTGGGGGGTGATTTCTCGCTTTCTGTCTCTCTGTCTCTCTCTGTCTCTGTGGCGAGTGTACGTGCCCTATAGCAAAAACCTCTCCAAAAACAAACAAACAAAAAATACATATATATATGAATAGTAGGACTTTATTTTTTTTTAAATCATGTGTGCATGCATATTCACATGCATACAGACTCACTGAAGGATATATACCAGATCAATGGAAATAATCTCTGGATAATGAAAATAAAGATGATTTATTTTGTTATTTTCTTTCTGTTTGTTTGCTATAGGGCCCATGTGCTCTATATGTGCTTAAAAGAGAGAGAGAGAGGGGAAAAAAATAAAAATCATCCCCCAGGAGAGATGACCACATCACAATCCCTTCTAATCCATTCCCCTCTCGGGATTTTGCACGCACATGCACACACACTCAGCATGATGTTCAAGCTGTGGGGTCAGGACTTGAACCATGCTCTTGGCAATGTGGGATCCAGCTGCCTGAATCTCCACATCACCTGCTGGCCCTCCTGTCCTTTTATGGTCCCTTTTTAAAAAACAATTAATATATATCATTTTTCTTATCAGAAAAAAAATTTAAGGAACCAGCAGTTAGTGTAATGGCTATGTCACTGGATTGCCACGTAGTCGACCGTGGTTCGTGTCCCGGACCTAGTGGCTTAGCACTCATGCCGGGTGTATGAGCATGCGTGCCCACGATCCCGAGAGGAGAATGGAAGAGAAGGGATTGCGGTGTGACCATCCCCCCTGGGGGGTGATTTCTCACTTTCTCTCTCTCTGTCTCTGTCTGTCTGGTGAGCACACACGTCCTATAGCAAAAACCTCTCAAAAAAAAAAAAAAAAGAAAGAAAGAAAAAAGTTTAATGAACAAATTTTATCAAATACAAAAAAGTCAATACAAATTTTAAGATAATGAAGATCAAATTTCTATCTTATTATCCTCACATGGTAGCATTATGGGTAATTCTTTTTTTTTAATAAGTTAAATTTTTAAAATTTATTTCCTATTTTGGCAATATGATAACGATTTTATATATATATATATATTTGGTCACTTGCTGGGAAAGTCATGATGCATGTTTGCACAGAAAAATACATGACTTTCCTGATGACCTCATAGTCATACTAGCTTGAAATATGAGTGATGGGAATGACTGAATTCCAAGTTTAAGGGTTAAAATTGGCAAATGCCTCTGCACTGTTTATGAAGATGTTGCTAGATTTAGGCAAATCATTTCTAGAAGATGAAGTTTATCACATACCGTAAACATAGCCAACACATGCCTGTTCCACTGCAGAATAAGGGATCCGTGCATCTTCTAGAGCTTTCTGGCCTAAAAAAGGAGGAGGCAGGGGTTAATCAAAAAGTACTATAAGTATTTGCTTTTGATGAGTAAAAACTAAGGTTAGAGTTTTCCCAGTATACAGTTACCTCAATATAGAATAGGTTCAGTTGAAATACTGAATCCTTACTGAAAACATCTGAGCTCTCCTTTTAAAAGTAATCGTTTTGCACTAAGTCATTATGACATCAGTTCTCCAAGTCTCTCTTGTGATACTGAATGCTTTCTGTCCTAACTGCCTACTTGACTATACTTAACATTAAATCCTAAGAGTCTTAAAAGCTCCTCAAGGTAAGGACTTTGTTTTATTCATCTCTGGAACTACCCACACTTCTAGAGGACAAAATGGGATAGAATGTCATTACTAGGGGTGGGTTTTAATGTGGTTATCATACAAAGCCAGAAACAAAAGTTCTGTCTATGAAACAAGAAACGAAGCAATAAGGATGTCATCCAAATTTGCAGAAATAACCAGTGGGAGAAATGAGAAAAACTAAGTAAACTGGAAAGAAGAGGACAGTGAGGTTGGAGAGAAAGTGTGAGCTAAATCTTCATCTACCACACTGAGAACCAAATAGATGTCTCAAACTGATAAATCAAAAACATGAATATACATGACAGAATGAGCATTTAGATATGAAGATAATCACCAGAAGAACTAAAGCCAAAACTGTTCAAAGAAGTCGACCCTAAGGAACAGGCCTGAGAAATATCAGCCCTTCTGTACTTTTTTTCACTTAAAAAAAAAAAATCATTTATTTATTTAATTTCATTTGTTTTTATATTTTTAATTTGACCAGAGACAAGGACAGAGAGAGAAAGGGAAGGTGAGAAAGCAAGCTGCCAGGTCTGAGACTCGAATCACATTCGGCCATGTGGGAGTCCAGCGCTTCAACCACAACACCACCTGCTAGTCCCTTTGCCATTTTTTTAATACCATATGAATGCATTACTTTGATTTTTTAAAGAAATTATTTATTTCATTTGTTATTATTTTTAAGGATTATTTAATTTTATTTATTCATTTATTTATTTATTTTAATTTGACCAGAGAGGGGTAGAGAGAACGTGAGAAAGCAGGCCACCAGGTACAGGACTCAAACTGCAGTCCAGTGCCCTTAACCACCTCGCTCCCTGCTGACCCCTGTTACTATTATTTTTAAAATTTGACCAGAGAGAGAGAAAGAGAAAGCAAGAAAGCAAGTTGCCAGGTCCAGGACTCAAATCGCATCGGCCATGTGAGAATACAGTACCTTAACCACCATGCCACCTGCTGGCCCATTTTGATTTTTTTTTTTCAACATAAGAAGATATATAAATTACAGGACTGGTTTAGTCAGACCTTGAGTTATCTTTTCCTGTTTAGCAAATAAGCAAAAAAAAAGTTTGTGAGATTATATTAAGAAAAGTATTCTCAGGGACCAGTAGTTGGTGTAATGGCTGGGTTACTCGACTCCCATGTAGTCGACCACGGTTCAAGTCCTGGACCCAGTGGCTTAAACTCTCATGCTGGGCGCATGTGCGTGCATACCCAAGATTCTAAGAGGAGAATGGAGGAGAAGGGACTGAGGTTGTTTAGGTCCTTTTCCCTTGACTGGGGTTCCTCTTATGTTTCCAAGGCTGCTCCGCCCATGGAATTAAGACAGACCACACAAAAACTATGGGTGTTCAAAGATATAAATGTTCTATATTACCTGCTTCTTTTGCCAAGTCAGGATAGTCTCTTGAATTCTCTGTTCCAGGCTTTACAAACTAGAAATATAGAAGGAAGCAATAAATAAAACACATATAGTTACAGCTTCTTCACAACAAAGCATTACAGAAATTCACCCAAACAGAAACGTACTGAGCACCTACCTCGTTCCTAGACACTGATAATAAATAATATATAGTCCTTGCAGTAAGGGAGCTGCCAGTCTAATGCAAAACAGGTAATTACTCCATAGTGACCTAGAAACAGAATGACTTGGGAGAGATCTACCCAACCCTCAAGGGAGAACAAAAAAGGTTTCCCAGAGGGACTGCCATTTAAATTAAGTCCTCAGGATGAGCAGATGACATAATGGTTAAGGTGCTTGACTCCTACATGGTTAACTATGGTTCGAGTTCCAGACCTAGTGGCTTATAACTCACATCAGGTGCATGTGTATGTGTGTCCAAAATCCCAGGAGAATGGAGAAGGGATTGTGGTGTAGCCATTCCCCTTCGGGGTGATTTCTCACTTTCCCTCCCACTGTCTCTCCCTGTCTCTCTGGCAAACACATGCACTCTATGGCAAATAAAAACCTAAAAAAAAAAAATTAATAAATAAAGTCCTCAAAGAACAGTGGGAATTAGCCAAGTGGAAGGAAGATCTAGAAGTGAGAGACTATGACACAATTTCCTCTGGAAGAACTTCAAATAATTTAGTATGGCAGAGGTTAAACCATGAGATAGAAAGTGGAAGTGATAAGGGCATGAAAGTAACTTCGGACCAGATAATGATAACAATTAATATTTACTGGCCACTTAGTGTGTTAGGCATTGTATTAAGCATTCCCCACGTATATAAATTTATTTAATCCTCACAACCATCCTAAGAGATACGTACTATTATTATTACCACTTTACAGATTAAAAAAATTAGGCAAAGAGAGATTAAACAACTTGCCCAAGAGTTAGTAAGTAATGGAGCAAAACCTTCAGCCGGTCTAGTCAGGCTCTAGAACAATCTCACAAGGGAATTTATGGGCTTTGATTTCCAGGCTTTATCCTGAGATGGATTTCTTTTTCTTTCTTTCTTTCTTTTTCAAATTGTCAGAGGGTATTTACCCTCATCAGAGAAAGGCAGAGAAACAGGAAGAGAATGAGAGCGAAAGCATCTCCCCATAGGGCATGATCATGCCACAATCCCTTCTCCACTTCTCCATTCATTCAGGATTATGAGTATGTGCACATACACACACCCACACACACACACACACACACACACACATACACACACACACATACACACACATGCCTGGCATGTTTTCCAAGCCACCAGGGGCTAGAATTCGAATCTCGTGGTCAGCCAAGTAGGCTCCACCTGCCTCAACCACTAGGCCAAGGGGACAGATCAAGGACAATGTATTCTGTTATTAAATAATTATTTATTTGTTTCATTTTATTTGTTATTATTATTCTTTAATTTGACCAGAGAGAAAGAGAAAGTGAGAAAGTAAGCTGTCAGGTCCAGGACTTGGAATTGTGGTCGATCATGTGGGAGTCCAGTGCCTTAACCACCACACCACCTGCTGGCCCCTAAAGATACTTCTTTTTAGAGACAGATATTTGTTATAGGGCACATGCACTCACCACAGATAGAAAGCAAGAAATTACCCCCTCCCCCAGTGGGTATGGTCATGTCATAATTCTTCTCCTCTATTCTCCTTTGGGGATTTTTGCCATGCATGCACATGCACGCATCGTGAATTTCAAGCCACCAGGCCCAGGACTCGAACCGTGGTCGACCATGTGATGTAAGCATTACGCCATCTGCTGGTCCCTCTCATTCATTGTTGATGAGAATGCAAAATGGTATAGCCACTTCGAAAAACAATTTGGCAGTTACTTACAAAACTAAACACACTGTTTTTTTTTTGCTATAGGATGAGTAAGTTTACCAGAAAAAAAGAGAGAAATCACACCCCTGGGGGGATGGCCACACCACAGTCCCTTCTCCTCCATTCAGCTCTTGAGATTAGGGGCACACATGCATACTCACCTGGTGTGTTTTTCAAGTTTTTGGCTCTGGGACACAAACCACATAATCAGCCACATGAGATCCAGTGCCTTAATCACCACACCACTGCTGGCCCCAAAACTAAACATACTCTTACTGTAAGAATCCAGCAATCACACACTCCTTGATATTAAGTAGTTTAAGTCCACATAAAAAGCTGTACACAAATGTTTGTGAAAGTTTTATTCATAATTGCTAATACTAAAGCAACCAGGATGTCCTTCAGTAACAGGATAAATACAATGTGATATTGGGTAGTCAGAAAAGTCTGACATGATGGGGCTGGCAGGTGGCGTAGTGGTTAAGGGTGCTGGACTCCCACAGGGCCAACCACAGTTTGAGTCCTGGACCTGGCAGCTTGCTTTCTTGCTTTATTTCTCTCTCTTTCTCTCTCTCTTTCACTATGTCCCTCTCTGGTCAAATTAAAAATGAGTAAATAAATAAGTAAAGTTAAATAATTCTTTTTTTTTTTCTTTAAGTGTCATGAATTTCCCAATGAACCCAATACATCTAAACAACTGAAGATTATTCAAGAGGACCAGCAGATGGCATAATGGTTATATCACTGGACTTACATGTAGTCAACCGCTGTTCGAGTCCCAGACCCAGCAGCTTAAACTCCCACCGGACATATGTGCATGTGTGCCTAAGATCCCAAAAAGAGAATGGAGAAGAGACCGCAGCATGGCCATCCCCCCAGGGGTTGATTTCTTGCTTTCTGTCTCTCTATCTCTGTCTTTCCTGTGAGTGCACATGCCCTATTGCAAAATTCTATTAAAAAAATTTTTCGATGTTGAAAAATAAAACCTCTTATCAAGCCAAGAAAAGAAGTAGAAAAAACTTAAATACTTACTACTAAGCGAAATAAGCCAATCTGAAAGACCACATACTATTAGGCTGTTGGGAAAGTCGTATTTTTCTGGTTTTGTATGTAAAAATGTATCATGACTTTCCAGACAACCCAATATATGATTACAAGTAAATGACATGTGAGAGAAGATAAAACTATAGAAACACTGAAAAATCAGTTGTTGCCAGGAGTTAGAGGGACAGAAGGATGAATAAGTAGAAGATGGAGTGTTTTTGTTTTGTTTCGTTTTTAACCAGAGGGCATGTGTGCTCATTGGAGAAAGACAGAAAGTACTCCCCATGCGGCATGGTCACACTATAATCCCTTCTACTCCATTTCTCCCTCCTTTCAGATTTTGGGCACATATACACAGGTGCCTGAGATGTTTCTCAAGCCACCAGTTCTGGAACTCAAAACTATGCAGTTGGCCATGTAAGATCCAGCTGCCCACCAGGGCCTCAAGCTGGACCCATAAATGATGTTTTAAAAATATTTCCCCTAAAAACATGAGAAGAGTGGCATTACTTTGTATTTCTGCAATTCTCTTTAATATCTGATTTAATAGGAGACAGATGAATTCTCATATCTAATTTTTTTGAACGACACAGGGTAAATTCAAGCACATGAGAGAGAAAGAGGGAGAGAGCACCCCTCAATGGGCCTGGTCATGCTACAATCCTTTTTCCTCCAATGTTCCATTCTGTCAGGTCCTTGGTGTGTCCACACACAACTGGTATATTTTATTTAACTTTAATTATTTATTTATTTGCTTTAATTTGACTAGAGAGGGACAAAGAGAAAAAGAGAGAGAAAGAAAGCCACCAGGTCCAGGACTTGAACTGCAGTCGGCCATGTGGGAGTCCAGTGCCCTTAACTACCATGCCACCTGCCAGCCCCCTGCATAATGCTTTAACTGTTGTATCACAGAGCTAGCCCTCCTATCTAAGTCTTTAGTCAATCTTCTGTTTGTTATGTTGTTTCACTTGAAGTACAGGAAATAATTCTAACCTCATATAGACAAGTAGCTGAAAAGAAAAAGGATTATTTAAATAGCCTTTCTGGGTAATTATGGTTATTTGTTTTTAATACTACACTAAAATGACAGTGAGAGTTTCTTTTTTTTTTTTTAAGAGTTATTATATTTAATCTTATTTATTTATTTTTAGTTTGACCAGAGAGTGACAGGGAGAGAAAGAGAGAGGAAAAGTGAGAAAGCAAGCTGCCAGGTCTGGGACTCGAACCTTGGTCAGCCATGAGGGAGTCTAGTGCTCTTAACCACGATGCCACCTACCAGCCCCCCAACAGTGGGAGTTTCTTAATAGTTAACTGCAATGCAAAAATCTGAAACCATAAAATGAACTTTTTTAAAAAAGAATTATTTAATTTTAATTTATTCATTCAGTTATTTTAATTTGACCAGAGAGGGACAGGGAGAGGAAGAGAGAGGAAAAGTGAGAAAGCAAGCCACCAGGTCCAAGTCTCAGACTGTGGTCTGCCAAGTGGGAGTGTCCAACACCTTAACCACCACACCATCTGCTGGTCCCATTTTATACTCTATTATAAATTCTTGCATTTTGAATGGATCTCCTATGGATTTGTTCAAAGGATTTATAAATAAATGGATCATTTATTTAATGAATGCATAATTCTGAATCATCTAGGTCACCTGTAAAATAGTGATTCCATTGGGGCCAGCAGGTGGGTTGGTGGTTAAGGCACTGGACTTGCATAAGGCCAATTGCGATTCAAGTCCCAGACATGGCTTGAATCTCACTCCAGACTAGCATGTGTGCGTGTATGCCCAAAAATCCCAGGGAGAGAATGGAAGAGAAGGGATTGCAGCATGGCCATCCCCCTGGGTAAGTGATTTCTTTCTCTGTCTCTTTTTTTCTCTCACTGTCTCTCTTTCCAGCAAGTATATGTACCCTTGGCAAAAAAAATTAAAATAATAATAATAATAATAATTACATGGGTTATGCAGCTTTTCCACAATTTGACATTATGTAATTCCAAAACTTACCTTTGTTATTAACACCTATCTCATTAAAACCAACAAAAAAGTAGCAGAAAGTTGGCAATCATATATAAGTTTTTTAAAATTATAACTTTCACTTGAAAGCTCAAATTTTATTGCTGGCAACAAATACTGTCAGTTACTTTCCTTGAAGTGACAGGCTGACTTCATTCTTTTTTTTTTTTAAATAATTATTTTATTTTAACTTTATTTATTATTATTGTTACCTTCCAGTTTAATCAGACAGACAGAGAGAGAGAGGGAAAGTGAGAAAGTAAGCCACCAGATTCAGGACTTGAACCATGGTTGGCCATATGAGAGTCCAGTGCCTTTAACCACCACCCCACCTGCTGGCCCCACTTCATTCATTTTTGAAAACATAAACCAAAGTTTGAATAACCATAGTATATGCCAGTTGCTCTTTCAAGTAAAACTGGTGCTTCATTAAAAAAGTGGCTAGTGTGGGAACCAGCAGTTAGCATAATGGCTATGTCGCTGGACTCCCACATAGTCGACCGCGGTTCGCGTCCCGGACCCGGTGGCTTAAAACTCACGCCGGGCGCGTGTGCGTGCATGCCCAAGATCCCGAGAGGAGAATGGAGGAGAAGGGATTGCGGCGTGACCATCCCCCCTGGGGGGTGATTTCTCGCTTTCTGTCTCTATGTCTCTGTCTGTCTGGCGAGCGCAAGCGCCCTATAGCAAAAACCTCTCAAAAAAAAAAAGTGGCTAGTGTAGCTCACATGTAAACAATCTCACAAGTATTGAGATTAATAAAATTAATCTGCTTCATTCAAAATGGTCTTAATGAAAACCAGTGCAATTATTTTTCTGTAAGATCATGACTTGGGACCAGCAGGTGGCATAATGGTGACATTGCTGGGCTTCCATATGGCTGACTGTCGTTCAGGTTCCAGACCTGGTGACTTGAAAATCATGCTGGACGCATGTGCGTACATGTCCAAAATCCCAGGAAGAGAATGGAAGAGATGGGAATGAGGCATGGCCATCCACCCAGGGGCTAGTTTCTCACTTTCCCTCTCACTGTTGCCTTCTGTCTCTGTCTGGCAAGCACATGCCCTATGACAAAAACCTAAAAAATAAAAGTTAAAAATGATGATTTAATCATTAATAGATATTACTTGTTGGGATTTAGCACCATACTATCTCTTTACGAAAAGTACTTTCTGTACTCTACCATTCTGTTTTTCACTTTCGGTACAGTATTCAATTAATTACATGAGATATTCCACCCTTTATTGTAAAACAGGCTTTGTGTTAGATGATTTTGCCCTCCTGTAGGCTAGTGTAAGTGCTCTAGGCACATTTAAGGGAGGCTA